CAAATTTATTCACAGATGCAAACGAAAGTAGGTTCAAAGCATACACATACACAATGCCTCTGTTTCAAACCCAGCAAATCATAATAAATATATCACTACAATTCCTATAAACCATGGTGCACTACATAGTCCAGGCTTCCTCAAACTCGGCCCTCCAAATGTTTTAAGACTACAATTCCCATAATCCCTGACTACTGGTCCTGCTAGCTAGGGATCATGGGAGTTGTAGGCCAAAAACATCTGGAGGGCCGAGTTTGAGGAAGCCTGACCTAGAAACATAGCAAAAATAATTATGTGGTCTATATTCCCTAAATTTAATATGTCAATCTTTCCATATTAACAACAAATCATAACTGATTTAATTACTCCTAAAATGAAATATCTAAAATCCAGTATGCACTTTTTTGAGAGTAGGTCCTATTGAGCATAATTCACTTTTTTCCCCCTGAGAAAGTTCCTCATGGGGCAAGATGTTTGACAGTGGAACAGATTGATGCAAGAAGTGGAATAGGGGGCATTTAAAGAAGCAGGTGGCTGCCCATCTCTTGGACACTGTAGCACATGGGGAACCTGTCCCAGAGGCCAAACGTGGCCCCTGAAACCTCTTCTGGCCCCCAGGACTCTACCCACACCTCTTCCCAGCCTTGCTTCATACTTTCATTGAATGCTTTTCCCCAGCTGAAATGTGTCCTTGACCTCTGCTAATAACTTTTGTTTGCCTGGATGGAAGATAGGTAAATGAGTTTGTGCAGAAATTTGACAACTGTACAAAAGTAAAATTTAACATTTGCTGCCCCTGGAAGGCTGATCTCACTTTTGCCTCTGGAAGGCTGCCCAGAAGGAAATGCAGCCATCGGGTGGACAAAGGTTTCTGACTCCGGCTGCAGTAGAAGGTTTCCTCCATCAAGTCTCACCTTCCCTGAGATCAGTGCTTGCCTCTCAACAGCCGCAACACAAATCTATTTTGTGTCTTGGCTCAAGTAGTTTACTATTTAAAATTAATGATCTAATTTCCTATAAAAATGTAAACATCACAGGAGACACATATCAACTCAATTACCACAGACGGAAATAATTAGAAACACAGACACGGCGTATTAAAGTCAGATACTTAGAACAGAGCTTCATTTAGAAGCCAAGCAAGGCTCTTTGTTGATGACACTGTGTTTGCTATGTTGTTAATTTAGAATCCTGTTATGCCTTGTTGAAAATGAATGAACACATTAATTAAACACACATTTAATTGGCGTACTTGGTAGTTAAATAGGAGGGGAAACAGTATAGAAATGAAGTACCTTATCATTGAAGAAGATGTAGCAGCCCCTTGCTTTGCCGACTCCTATTACTTGCGGGTGGCTTGCTGATCAGAAGGTTGGTGGTTCGAATCCCCGCGACGGGGTGAGCTCCCATTGCTCAGTCCCAGCTCCTGCCAACCTAGCAGTTCGAAAGCACGTCAAAGTACAAGTAGATAAATAGGTACCGCTCCGGCAGGAAGGTAAACGGCGTTTCCATGTGCTGCTCTGGTTCGCCAGAAGCGGCTTAGTCATGCTGGCTACATGACCCGGAAGCTGTACGCCGGCTCCCTTGGCCAATAAAGCGAGATGAGCGTTGCAGCCCCAGTGTCGGCCATGACTGGACCTAATGGTCAGGGGTCCCTTTAACTTTACCTTTATTCCTTGCCCCAGCTCCTTGCGGATCCCAATGAGTTCTCCTTGGGGCACAGTGGAACCTTGGTTTTCGAACGTAATCCGTTCCAGAAGACTGTTCAACTTCCGAAACGTTCAAAAACTGAAAGCGGAAGCCTCAATTCAGTAGGGAAACTCAAAACGGAAGCCGCGTTGGATGTTTGGGTTCCAAAAAACGTTTGAAAACTGAAGTGTTTACTTCTAGGTTTTCAGCGTTTGGGAGCCAAAACTTTTGAAAACGAGGCCGTTCGAAAACCGAGGTTTGACTATATTATCTGCTTATATGTAGCTCCCATTCGTTACACAAGGGATGACATAGGCAAAATTCCCCATGGACTGTACCCACCAGATATCAAACCACAGACACATTGCCATCTATTACAGCCTTCAGGTATCTTGTAACTTATCTTCCCATAGATCAGCCATGGCCAGATTTGGCCCTCCAGCTGTTTTGGAACTACAGTTCCCAGCATCCCCAACCACTGGTCCTGTTAGCTAGGGATGATGGGAGTTGTAGTCCCAAAACAGCTGGAGGTCCAAGTTTGGCCATGTCTGCCATAAATGGTGTGTTGTTCTCACACCACCTGAACTTTAAGGCTTTAAGTCTTAGTGAGCTACTTTCAAATTTGACCAGGCTCTCTGCTCTATCTTCAACAGCAGTGGAAGTGCGCCCTTTTGGGGTTGAAGTCAAAACTGTTGAAGAGTTACAGCACCTTCTGTGGTTGAAGAGATTGATGCAGGAGAGAGATGTTTTATTGCAGCTGGGGCAGATGAAGGCACCCAGTTTTGCTGCTGCAAATGCACCCTGTAGTTTCTTCTCTCTGCGCTTCTCCCAGCTGTCATGACACCTACCACAAATAAGTTGAATCAGTGCTTCCCGTTTAAAATTTGACATTCCTGGTTATTACATTAAAAGTAGTGCCGGGTCAAATATCATCTACCCCGCCCATTTCACAGTGTTGTTTGCCTACTGATAAAGTGGGGATTTTCAGTTGGCAGATTTTAATAATTTTTAGCATAGATGGATGTTTCTATCTAAAGCTCATGGGATCAAGCTCCTCTAAAGCCTGATGTGGGAGCAGAACTATTTATTATTATTATTATATCAATTAATTAAATAAATTTTATTTTGTCAAAAAAGTAAAAACCCTTTGCTGCCTTGTCAATAATATAAAACTACCCCACCCCCCGCCTCAAGAATTAGATCTCAACCTCCTGAAGATTTTTTACCTATTTTCTTAGTGGTGTGTATTTTCTACCTCCTCCACAAAAAACATCCACTGAAAATTGTGGCCTGAATACTTCGGCAGAAGCCTCGTTAAAACACAAACACGTTCTTCTCTACCATTCTAAATGTGTGTCCTTTGTGCATAACGTCAGCAGGCAAAGGAAATAACAGTATTCTGTTGGTGTATTTTAAAATCTACATCGGATCATAGAATTGTAGCGTTGGAAGAGACCATGAGGGTCATCTAGTCCAACCCCCTGCTTTTGTCCTGACTCGAACCCACAGCCCTGACATTAAGAGTCTCTACCAACTACCGATCTGTTCAGGGAAGTGCTGTGGCTGAGCAGCTGAAGAACGGCGTCTGTTGCTGGCGACCTTTTCCTCTTAGTTCATGGGTAGATTTATGGGAGCATTGGACTTACTACTGCTATTGCACTTTAACGAAGGTTCTTTCTCCTCCAGCTGAAATGCAATCTTCAGCTTTTAATTAGAAATTACCAAAAAAAATTGGTTGCAACAGATCCCAGGTGCAATCTCTAGCATGTCCACATACCTTTCTAAAATGCCAACTACTTCCTGTGGGTTAAACTGAAGTCAGGGCCGTCTTAAGCGTATCTGGCGCCATGGTGCAAAGATCCCTCTGGCGCAGCCCCCTCCCCCATTTCCCAGAGTTGTCAACCTTTTCCCAAGCCCCTGCAGGGATCGCTCTCCTCACGCGGAGGCTTGGGAGGCAAGCTGCACGCCCGCCAGCCATATGGTTGACTGGGCGCAGCTGGCGGGCGTGCAGGGAAAGGGGAGGCCGCTGGCAAAGCTGCACAGCTCCCCCACTCGCTGGGGTGCCCCTAAGAGGCCAGTGTCCTGGCGCAACGCGCCACTAAGCCCAATGGGAAAGACGACCCTGACTGAAGTAGATGGACCCATAGTCTTGACCCGGTGCAAGGCCCCTTCCTATGTTCTTTCTTGGATAAATTGAGGAATACTGATAGTGTTTGTACTGTTAGTTTTGTGAAAGCGTGTTCTCCTTCATGGAGAGCACGTGTTGCGGTGGGGGCCGCCAGGACACTCCAAAGTTGGGGGTGGGCTAATTGTTCGTTGGCCACTGATGCGATTGGGGCTTCCCTTGTTGTTGGGATTGTTATGTAATGTTGCCATTTGTTGATTGACAGCCAGAAATGCTAAAACTCCTTGCACGAGGCTAGGGCTTCCTCTTTTCGCCCGTGCATCGGATTGCCCGTCCCTCCCTCCCTAGAATTAGGGTTGTTCGCTTGACCTTGCTATGCCTGTCATGGGGTCGTCTGCTCTTGGGGCAGGGGCCTGGTAGGAATTTTGTCCATCTGGCTGATTGGCTGGGGCCATTTGGTTTTTGCCTACTGCGTAGCAAATCGTCACAACTTGTAAGGTTACAGTTAGGCATTGGTTTATGGTTTGGTTGGTTGAGGGGCATGGATTGGCTGTGCCTGCCTCTCTAATGCTGCTGCTGCTGCAAGGGATTCCGTTGAAGGAATTGGGGGCTACCTATTTCTTGTCCACTCTGTCAAAGGGGCTCGGGCCATAGCAATGAGCTCCTGGTTGCATTTGGGGTGAGGGCAGGTTCCCTGCTCCGCATAACCCCCAAGTATATTCCCCCATTCTGACTTTCGCATTGTGCGGAATGTCAGTCTGTCCCCCATGGGGGGCAGATAGTCGCAACCAATGCCTAAGCAACCACTCACAAATTTGTATTTCAATAAAGTTGTGGCCAAAATTATGCCAAAAATCTTAAACAAAAAATTATGTGTGATGTGTGAGTTATTGGGGTGGCCCTGGGGACCTTGACACGCAACTCATATTTCTATTGCCCATTTCTGTGGACGGGCTTTAACAGGCCAATCTATTAGAAGTGCTTGTCTAACGTTACGGATTTTCAATTATTGGAATAGTTTGCTGTTTTACCAATAGATATCGTATTGTGCACGTTTTACACCCTTGCTGTGCAATTGTTTACTTGTAAGTAAGACAGGTTTTTGTTAGCAGGGAGGCAGGACTTGGTTAAGAGGGGCAGGATTTTTGTTGGGGGGGCAGAACCGACGTGACTGGTCCGTTAGTTAAGTAATTCTATTGTTTTACTTGATCGGAGGGGGGCAGCTGCCCCCTTGGCTATGCCCGTGTACATCCCAGTGAGTTCAGTGAGGTTTGCTTCCCAGCCTTGCACACTTAATCATTCGCTGCTAAAACAAGAAGCGGAGGAGCAGAGTGATCACAACACCCAAGTGTTTCCCAGCCTTCCTTTTATGGAATGTGGCTGAGCGAGTGTGTGATGCTTTGTTCTGTGAACTGCGGAGAGGACAAAAATAGCATGTAATCGAGAACTAGAGAAACAGATCAGACGTTCAGACTGGGATTGGTTTCCCTCCACTAACGTTTATGGGCTGGGCGATTTCCAAAAGCACTTGCAGTTTGTTAGCTATCAATCATCCCTTTGCATTCCCTCTTCAAAAGTGCCCGAGAACAGATTGCAGAATTTTTTGAAACGTGGAGATGATTTGTCAAAAAGGAAAAGAAGAAGCTTCAGAAATTAGCACTCTGATTAGCTGTATAAAATATGCCCACTTTTCAAAAAAAACAACAACCTCCTCTTACATGCATTAAAAACCCTGAAATTGCTGTTGTAACTCTAATTTGTATGTAATTGCTCTCTTAATATTTGCAGTTGGACAAAGTCTGTATATCAAACACTGCTGAACAGTTTTAATTCTTGTTTCAGTTCCCAAACTTGAAGCATGTTTCAAAACATGGGTTGTGAGCCACCCAGAATCTTGTTCATAGAAATTAGCAATGCAGACCTATACACAAGTCTGCCCTGAATAGAACCCTGTACCCTTATAATTTATAATCTCCCGTTTTTGATGAAAACCTTGCATGTAAACCCTGCAGGATTTTCATGGGGTCCAACGAACTCATCCCTCTCTAAACATGTTAGCATGCAACAGACTTCTTCTTTTTTGAGTGGGGAGGGTCATAGTTAAAATGTGATGGTGGACTGTAGAAATGATAATAAAACAAGTCCATACTTCATGTGTATCTTGAGATAATCAGATTGGAGAGCAATATAAACCTAAAATCTGCTCAGGTTGTGTGTGTGTGTTACCATATATGCTATGGGATTTTGTGACAATGGCCAGCTGTCTGCACAATCTTGACATCACAGAGGTTGACCGGTGATGATGTCACAGACGGACCATGGTGGAGGAGCTTGGACTTGGGTGTGCTGAAAGACAAGAGCAGAGTAGGGCATGGACTTTGAACCAAGAGCCTAGGAAAAAGCTAGGCGAAGGAGAAAGGAGGTCTTATGGTGGGAGGGCAATGTTATTTCTAGCACATTTATCCTTCCCTCCCACCAGGGAGCTCAAGATTGTTGGTTCCCTGTTTTAAAAATAGATTTTCAATTTTATACATTTCAATAATTTTACAATCATTTTAACATTTCAAAACATGACTTCATTCCCCCTCTTTCTGCAGTTCCTTAAATTTGTTTTTAATATTTTCTGCATATCTAAATTAATTTAATTTGCACATTTATATATCTACTTTAAATATATACTCTCATAAAACTGCAGGTTATTACAATAATCCTGCCAATGTTTTTATCTGTTTACAGTTTGTACATATTCAATAAACCATTCCCATTTTTTAAATAAAAAGTTTATCTTGATTTCTTATTTTTCTGGTAAGTTTTGCCATTTCTGCATATTCCATAACTTTTTGTATCCTTTCTTCCTTTACTAGAACTTTTGCTTCTTTCCATTTTGGGGCAAGTAACATTCTTGGCCCTGTAGTTGCATACATGAATAAATTTCTATACGTTTGGGTAGTTCTGTCCCTCTTGATTCCCAAAAGGAAAGCTTCTGGATGTGTGTGTGTTTTTTACAAACATTATTTTAAAGATCTTTTTCAATTCATTATATATCATTTCCCAATAAGCTTTAACCTTCCTACAAGACCACCACTTAGGATAAAAAGAATCTTTTTCTCTTTATATTTCCAACACTTACTTGATTTGGATTTATACATTTTTGCCAGTTTACTCGGTGTTAGGTTCCATCGATATATCATTTTCATATAATTTTATCTTAGACCATAACATGCTGTAAATTTTATATTCCACAATCATTCCCATGCTTCCATATCTATGTTATGACCGATATCTATTGCCCAGTGTATCATTGAGGATTTTACTTGCTCATCCTTTGTCTCCAATTCCAAAAATATCTTATACATTTTAGACAGCACTTTTACATTACATTCCAATCGGTCTCTCTCCAGTTGCGATATTTGTCCCCCTTTTCTTTGCTCTCTCTCAACGAACCTGTGAAGTTAGGTCAGCCACCAAAGTCAACCAGTCAGAGGCGGAGCTAGCTGCACCTGGGGGCGGGGCTAGTTGCCTGTGGGGGCGGGGTTAGTCACCCACAGGGGCATGGCAGGCGTCCCAGGGGGGTGTTGCCCGCAGCAAGTGCCCCAGGGGGGCACCACCCTCATCAAGTGTCCCAGGGGGCAGGGCGGCGATGTCACCCCCCAGGGATGACACCTGGGGCGAACCACACCCACCGAACCCCCCTTCCTCCACCAGTGCAACCAGTGCTCATCAAGGCTGAACGGGGATTGGAACTGAATCTCCCACTTCAAGGTCTGCTCACTTTCCCAGTGTTTATTACCTCTGTTTTGTTTAGGAAGGTGGCATTGAAAGAAAGGATGGTTGTGGAGGTTTAAGGTCAGGAAAGGTTTTAAGTGTGTGTTCACAGAGAAACTGTAGGACTAGCAAAGTTTGATGTGTGTGGGAGGGGTGTGCGTCGGAATCCGTGGGCTTCAGAAAGTAAAAGTGGAATGCCAGAAGGTGAGGAGCTGCAACAGTTAGGCTCAAGTTTCAGGTTAGAGCTCCAAAGTCAAGCAAGTGCTTTTCATTTATCGGGCCTTCTTGGTAGTGGCACCCATCCTGTAAAACACCCTCTTGTCAGATGTCAAATAATGATACGACCTTCTGTAGACATCTGAAGGCAGCCCTGTATTGGGAAGCTTTTAAAGTGTGATGTTCTGCTGTGTACATTTTTGTATATTCTGTTGAAAGCCACTCACAATTGCTGGGACAGTCCAGTGAAATGGGCAGGGTATTATTATTAACAACAACAACAACAACAAATCTTTCATTTTGTACCTTCAGGTGATATTTGATTTCCTTTTACTAATTGAAGGCAGCTTTTAAAGTTGGCATCCAATATACGTACTGCATTCTGAGCAATAATTAAGTAGCTATGTGGCAGTTGATTAAAGGTGACAGGACAGCAATTTCTGTTAATGAGTATTTTTTTTAAAAAATGGTGGCATTTATAAAACCATGTAACATGATAAGGCTGCTTCTGTTTCAGGCTCTATGTGAAGTGCAAGGCTATTTTTGTTCCGTTAGCAGCTGTTTGGTAGAACTAAATATGAGAGACTGATTTCCTGTAGGGAATAATCCAACACTTGCCTTTTTAGTGCTGCGGTGGAAGAAAGTTGTTCCAAAGTACCCCGGTATTGCTGAGTCCCAGTCAGACACTGAATAAAGACAGGTTGGATGATGGGGTTTTTAAAAAATGTACATAAAGGCTGAACCCAGTTTATGAGCTGTCAAGGTAGTTAACCCTTACAGTCAGTTCAAACAGTCCTTGTAGATCTCTTCATGTTGGCTAAGGGATGAGGAACGGCAGGTCATTCTATTCTCCAGCCAGCTTCTCTGTTGTTGGGTGTTGGGACATGCAAAACTTGTCTGAGAAATACTGTTGCTGGTTCCTTTTGTCTCTTCTGTAACTGAGAAACTCCACTTTGATAAAAGTCAAAATTCCTACGGAGATGGTGTAGGAATTCCAAGGCTGTGTTAGAAACTGAAATACGAAAACTAGGAGCTAAATGGCACCTTAAACCTAGGTAATCGGCGCAACAACGGAATGTCTCGGCGCACTTTTTTAATAACAAGAATACAAAGCTGAAAATGAATGAACTGCAGCTAAAATATTATGTTCATTTTTCACATGGTCTAGTCCAGGCATGTCCAAAGTCTCTTTCAGGGGCCTAATCCGGCCTGTCGGTTGATTTAATCTGGCCTGTGGCAGTATATGTCCTGGGGTAAAATCCTAAAAAAAGCTCAACAACGTTGAAAAAGTTTGGGCACCCCTGGAGTTCCTCCCCTGCCCACCCCCCTAATAGTCTGAAGAGGGTCCCTTCTCCAGTCTTCAGAGAGTAGCTGAAAGTGGGGAGGCAGAAAAAGGTTCTCCTTTCCTTCCACTCTGCAGTTTTAATCTGAAACCGTAGGCACAGTACTGCGCCCAGAGCTCAGAAACTGCCCGCCCTGTCACAAAATGTGCCTAGAACAATGGGAGTTTCGAACACTGTTACAAGGAGATAATACACGTGGAGCAGTTAGAACACTCTTCAAGGCCAAAATAATGTGGTGAGTTGCAAACATTTATATCCAGTTTAGGTCAGGCTAATCTTCCTGTGCTGGTTTTCTTGCCTGACTTGGCAGTTGCAGTGACCTTTCTCCTGCAGTGCCAGCGCAACTGGCATTTAAGTTGCAGGTGCTACTTCTTTGGCCATCAAAGGGGCTGTGTTGGTCCACCCCAGGCGTCAGCAAACTTTTTCAGCAGGGGGCCGGTCCACTGTCCCTCAGACCTTTTGGGGGGCCGGACTATATTTTTTTGGGGGGAAATGAACAAATTCCTATGCCCCACAAATAACCCGGAGATGCATTTTAAATACAGTGGTACCTCAGGTTAAGTACTTAATTCGTTCCGGAGGTCCGTACTTAACCTGAAACTGTTCTTAACCTGAAGCACCACTTTAGCTAATGGGGCCTCCTGCTACTGCCGCACCGCCGGAGCATGATTTCTGTTCTCATCCTGAAGCAAAGTTCTTAACCCGAGGTACTATTTCTGGCTTAGTGGAGTGTGTAACCTGAAGCGTATGTAACCTGAAGCGTATGTAACCCGAGGTACCACTGTAAAAGCACACATTCTACTCATGTAAAACACCAGGCAGGCCCCACAAATAACCCAGAGATGCATTTAAAATAAAACTACTCATGTAATAACACACTGATTCCCGGACCGTCCGTGGGCTGGATTTAGAAGGCAATTGGGCCGCATCCTGCTCCTGGGCCTTAGTTTGCCTACTCATGGTCTACCCTTTGCCGCAATGTTCTTCTTCGGAGGTTTGGGGTGCAGCCTTGCAGTGACCTTTGGCCCCCTCGCCAGGGGCAGAAGCCAGAGGATTGCTATGCTTCACCTGCACCCACTTGTGCAGGATTTGTTTGCTTACGGTTAGCAGGACAGAGCAACGACCTGTTTTGCAAATAAGTTGATGTAATGCATGTAAGTTTCGCCTGGAGTATTCTGAAATCTTTCTTTGGAAGAGAAGAGCAGAGGAGAAAAACCTCGGTGGGATTTCTGAGGAGCAAAACGGGAAGAGAGCTGAATCCCAGCCCCAGGCAATCTGGCATCTCCAACAAGCTCAGAGCTG